TTCAACCAGCAGTTTAATGGCTATCGAAATAACACGATTGAATTTTGCTTAAAATGATTGAAACCTGGATTATAGTTGTCGTATAATTCAGCAGGTGATAATGCACCAATTTCTTTGGCGTATTCATCTTGAATTGGCTCTTTGAATTCCTCCTCAGAAAGCGTGAAGATCTGAAAATACTTATCAATTTGGAAATCACTGAACTAGAGAGAATCGAAGCTAAGTACGTTTATGATAAAACGACAGACTATAATGATTACCTTATGCTTGCTATCATCAGATGTGAATTTAAACGCCATTTCTCGGGTATTATTCCAAAGTTGTAGCATAAGTCAGCCAATAGAGAGTTTCTTCTCAGGAAGCCTTCTGGAGAATACAAAAACCTTCCAGAGGGCACCTTTGAAACACCCGTAATATGAGAGCACTGAAAGCCCCCATATGAAAAACGTTTTACGGTCAGGTATGAGTGAAAACTTTAGTCCATTCATATATTCATATAATGTGTTAGGTTCGACGGAAGTATCATCAAGAATACCGCAATAAAGACAGTCATAATCGAGAAATAAAGACAGTAACTAGGGAATAACGAGAACAACAGAATTCAATTCGGATTCAACATACAACAATTCACGTTGATTTAAATCCAGATGTACAAGGCAAAAACAAAAAGAAATCCCAACTGAACTGCTTGAATTAAAACAAATCAACGAAATGATTTGAGTCACTTTGCCAAACCATTATTTTATCATTTCACCAACAGAAATAATTTGGATGCAAACGTTGCAAATTGACCTCCTCCGAAACATGGTGCTAATCGTGAGTCAACCAATAGACGTCAGATGCTACCGTACTCCTACAGTGGACTTCAACCAATCACAGTATGCCAATATGCCTGCATTCTACCGTACTCGATTACCGGGGGCAAAACTGCAGTGAAATAACTGCGAGTTTGGTCATTTTATTTTGCTAGTAATCGATATATTCAGTAAATTTTATTATCGGAGGAAAAGAAGGCAAAATTGAAAAATGCAGAGAATGTCACTAGCATAAATTAACAGAATATTGTAATTCAGTGGTCATTAATCTACT